ATCGATTTAAAATCGAGACAAAAGCTTTAGCCAAGGCTAATTTTTACAATTGAATTTTACTCTCTTAATTTACTTGCTTCATTTTAATATGTTTCAATCAATTGAACTTTCTACTTTATCTTTCTTGTTTCCTTTTCAATTCATCTTTCAATCTTTTTATTTTTCTTTTCACTACGTATCAATTCTCCAAAATCCCCCTTAAATTCTCTTCACAAGTCACGTCCCAAGTCAGGTCACAAGCAAGAAGATTATTAGACTCATAGTACTTTGGATCGACCCTTACTCTCACTATTCTACTCTTATTTTTGTTTCTTTCATTGAGATTAAAGCTATTTTATTTTGCCATCATAAAAATGCATGTCATCTAGTATATAATTTTTGAATGTTTCCTTTCATAATAAATCAACAACAGACTTTGTCGTTTGATAAGTCCATTAGTGCTAAACTTTGCTTTATTCTTCTACAATTCTTATTTATCAACAGAAAACTGAATCTAATTATATTGGATAAATTATAAATTTTATTTATTCAATTTTAATCTCATTCTTATTTTATTTATTAAATTTTAAAAACTTTTAATTTGATTAATTAACTTTTATATTTTAATCATTCCATCGTAAAATCACAAATAATATGATGTGTTTTTAAACTTCTTTTTTCTCATTTCATCCCTACAATTTCATTATCTACACCGGTTTCCCTTTGTTACTTTTCGTCCTCATCCCAAACCAAAAAATAGTCGAACATCCTCTCATCTCATGCATTTGTTTCAACCACTATTGCTGAACCAATCATCAAATCAGTCCCATAACCAGCACATGTAAAAATGAAGACAGCGACCTCTGATTCTTGCTGATAACACGCTTAAATTTTTTAACTGAATCGGTTCAAATAAAAAAAAAATAGAAAAAGAGAAATGAAGAAGCTTACCTTTGACTTTGGTGGATATCTGGCCCCCAAATCTTTCATCTGAAGACCCCTATTGTAGCGAGGAGCAATATATCTCTATTTAGTCTCCATCCATAGGTAGGCAATGAAGATCCCAGAACAAGAAATCAAAACGTTTAATGCTAGGTTCATGAAGTTTATTGTGTTTTTTATTAAACAAGCATCATATTCACATTAAGGAGGTAAAACGAGTTTGGAGAAAAAAATTTAGAACTCATATGTCGTCAGTAACAATAACCGATGATGGTCAAACCAACAGTTGACTTGATATTTTTTCATTTAATTTTTGTTATATAAATCTATATTTTATTATCATAACTTTTTATTTGCTTGTAATCGTTTATTCATCGTTGTTATCTGTAATAATAAATATATATATCGACACACGTACATGTACAGAATTGAAGAAGAAAGATGGCCACCTAAAACGTTGTTGTTTTCTAATAAAAAAATTTGAACGTTTTTTTTATAGTAATCACGACTAGATTTTGTCATTTGAAAAGTCCATTAATGCTGAACTTTGCTTTATTATTCTATAATTCGTATTCCATCATATTTATTAATATAAAATTGAATCTAATTTTTATTTATAAAATTTTAAAATAAAAAATATATGGTATCATACCATAACGTTAATATATATTGTTAATAATTTTGGATGTGATAAATGAAGTGGTCAAAGTCATGCGGCTCTGCCTTAAACTGCAAACATTCTATTACGTTGAATAGATTCAAAGGTGAGCATGCCCCCTGCCTCATGCTATTACAATTGAAATATAGTAGAGAGAAAATGTATGAGTTTGCTAGAGATTTGATTTAGTCCAAAATAATTAACTTTCGTCGCACGTTAAACCTTAAACTCAGCGATATGAATATTAAAACATTTTTTTAAAACTAAGGGTAAATTGCACAAATAGTCACTAATGTTTGAATAATTTTTATCTTCCCTATTGAAATTTTAAAAGTAATAAATTGGTCACTAATATTAACAAATCAATCATAAACGTTATCGATTTATAACAAATTATTCACTCACCGTTAACCACGGTAACAGAATATTGATGTGTCAAGTTAATTAACTTTTTTTTTGGCATCTTTAGACCATGATTGCTAAAAACTGAACCATTCTCTTTTATCTTCACTCTCTTTATGTTTCTCTCACTTCTCTCTCTTACATCACTCACCTCGTACGTACTCATCCTCTAGACCCGACACCCGGTCTCAATCTACTCCCCGCCTGTGTCTGGCACATGAAGAAACAATACTGGATCCCTCATGAGACTTGTTATCTATCAATTGTTTAACATTTCTTTCTTGAAGAATCTCTTTAGGCTTCTGTTTCAATTGCATCGGGTCAAGAAGGTTTGATTCATTATAACCTTTTTTTCCTATAGTTTCAGAACTCTTTTTAGTTTGGTTATTTGCTTATTTGACTGGTTGAGTTGGCATAGACATGAACTTATGAGTTAACAACGAGGTGGACTATGGTGATGAAGTTCATGCTTTTCCCTTGGCAGCGAGTAGAGAGCAAAACTGCCACCTGATAAGAATTCATGTAAATAACCTTGTGAATGGTTAGCCAAAGTTTTATAAGAGTAATATCGACTATGAATAGTAGTGAATCCATAAATATTTTTTAGGATGAATACATATATATTAATCACATAAAATTTTTATACGCGATGTGCAAAACTAAAATTTTAGTGTAGCACAACTATTAAAATATGTAATTATTTAAAAAAATTGAATTACGTGCCCACCCTGAATCCCTAATTGATCTGCACTAACAGTGAAGTTTAATAGTTCACCAAACCTTCTCCTTTATGATATGCTTCAGGCACAATCAACATATATTTAAGAAAGCTATCAGTGTAATGGTTAAAAAACATACTCAAATATTAATGATAATTTGTGTAGTTTACCAAAAAATAATTATATAAAACATGCTTAGAAAAGCAATAACTCAAACATAACATTCATATTAAATTTCATTATATATTATCATTATTCATTTTAATTGACCTCTTCAAGTGTAAACCCTCTAATAGGTATGCAAGTAGATAACATAATCTCAAAGAATAAACAATGTAATCCCGAAGCGTGAACAATATAATACACGGCCCCTATGACTAATCTATTATAACTAACAAAATCCACTTACTTATTAGGTCATGTTTACCAACATATTCATTAACCACATTATTTAGCATGTTTGTTTTGTTCATATAATCTTAAAGACAATCATTATCACAAACCATGACCATAATATTTCATTTAGTCCAGTAACATCATATCATATCAAATTCTCATAGTTTGTTATAAATCATATAACATGCTTTTCAACTACATATATCTCATACCCTTTTACATCTATAATTTTTATGGATCAACCTTTATCTAAAAGATCACAGACATATATATATAATCAGTATAAAAAAAGTTAATCACATTCTCAAATCAACACATAATAGCAAGTGTTCTTAAAAATGTACCCACCTTCAAATCAAGCTTGTAAAATCATATCAAAAGTGAATTTTTCCACTTTACTCGACTAGTTTGCTCTTTAGTTTTGGAAGAATTCTTTTATAAATCACTTCTGAAAGCTTCAATTCAATACGTGTATAGAACATGTTATTATAAATTCATGTCAAAATCTCTTGATACGTTAAAAAACATATGGAAGATGCTTCACTAACATAAAAATCTATTCTTCTTCTCAAACTTAAAACCTTAACTTATCTTTGATTTTATCATTTTCTTTCTTAATTTTCAATTTACTCCAAATGATGAAATGACCAACTTGAATAGCAAAAAAAAAAAAAAAAACCAATTTTTGATGCAAAAATCACCAAAGATCCAAACATTTACTAAGCCATGAATTCCCACGTTGGAGAAGATGAAGCGAAAAGAAAGTGATGAAATTTTTCATTTATTTATTTTTATTAATATAAGATTATTATAAGTGGTAGTATATGTTCTAGAGACTATCAATCATTCAACAATGAATGCCCAAATACTATGGATTACGAGACTTCTAGAAATAACAACTATCCCTTTAATTACGAAGGTAGTTTGGTTCATGCCATTCATTTTTATCTTTAAAATCTCATACAATCTAATATAATAATAAAATCTTTTACAATAATATTGTATTTCATACCTACTATTATCTTTCCTTTATAATTAAATTATTATATTAGCACGAATCAAGTAACCTCATTGGTAAAAAAATATTCTTTTAGGACTCGTGTTAGAGCAGCATGAATGCCGGAGATGTGAGCGTTTAATGTCAAAAGATTGAGAGTTATCTTTGAACATATATTGCGTTGTACCTACCCAGATTAATAAAAAAACATTATTCTATTACCTATTTATTTAAGAACCGTTATTCTCACAAAATTCTAAAATTTGAGATTTAATCACTATGATCCTAAAACTCTCTTATTCACAAAATCACCCGAAAATTTTTAAATCGTCTTGAATCATAACTAAATGTCATATTTGTGCCAAGCTTTTCATTTATTTACATTTTGACTTCAATTTGACAAAACAAACAGATTTAGCCCAAATTACAATCCTTTTTTGACAATTTTTGAAAATATGGAAAGTTGTTACCATTTCCTATTCTTCTTGAAATAAAAATACAAAAGTTAAGGTATGTAATTTAATGTCATTCATAGTACCATATCAAATCATATCAATTAATATATCATTTTATTTTATTAGTCTGAGTGGTTACAAGATAAATATATATTCAAAAGATTATCAATCATCTAACAATGAACACTAAAATACACTTGTATATGTTTTTTTCGAACTCGAAACTTTAAAAATGACACTCATCCCTTTAATCATTAAAGTCACTTAATTCGTACGAATAAATATATCTTATATATCAACATACAAAATGTTCTTATTTAACTTTGATATAAGTCACACGGTTCTTATCATGAGAAAATCACTACCAGTCATCACAAATAAATAAATCTTACAACTTGAAGTCTTTTTTTAATTTTATTTTTTTTAATTTAAATTATTTAGTTATGCTTAAACTAAGAAAAACAGTAGGCCATTCGATGGTGACCGGGGCCACAAGACGGGCACCTAACGAGACCGTTTACGTTACACTCGTTACAAGTTCGAAACCCAGATTTCTCACAATAGATCTTATGGCTACCATTACACTCACGACAAAGAACGAATCTCAGCCCTCCACATATATCACAGACACTGGACCCTACAATAATAGGTGACCGACCAATCAGCTTCTTCAGTTCCCCACACTCATGTAACCGCTTGATTTCCTCGCCCCCACCGATGTATTTCCCGCCGATAAAAACCAACGGTAACGCAGACCTCTTCATCTCGTTCCGGTCGACGATCCTCTGCAACTCGACGACGGAATCCGAGTCCAATGACAAATCTCGCCCGTCGATCGGCACGCCGTATCCGTGCAGGATCGATGTGACGGTCTTGCAGTCCTCGAACGTCTTGCGGACCACGCGGAGGCTGGTGAAGTAAAGCACGACACGCTCATCGGAGTGGTGGCCGTTTTCCGCCTTCTTCGCCGATAAGGAGCGGAGGAGGGAGGTGGAGAGCTTGAAGCGGTGGAAAACGGAGGGGTAGGAGCGGAAGGGCTCGTCTTCTTTGAGGACGGAGTTGATGTCCTTGAATGAAGTGGAGGAGAAATGTGGAGATTTTGGTTTGGAGTTTCCACTGTTTGTCTTTGGTGATTTCAGCCATTTGGGGAACATTCTGGGAAGGAATGGAAGAAGAAGAAAAGGAAGGGGGAGGATTTGAGGGATTAAGATGGAAATTAAAGAGTATAAATATAAGTTAATTTTGGATTTAATTGCTATTAAGGCAATGACAGATTTGGTTGAGGTAAGGCAGAGATTAAGGGATTTATGATTGATGCCTCTTTTGAAATATATTAGAATTTGATGCAAAATTAATATAAATGATCCTTTATAGCTAATTATTTATAATATTGTAAAAATCTAATAGGTGGTATAATAGGCTAGATTATTAATTATTAATTATTAATTTATTCAATTAAATTATTAACTTAATAATGATTAAATAATTTAAATTTAAAAATTCTAAAAATTTGGTTTAACATATTGAATTGTTGTTTTTAAATTTTCAATTACTTTTACCGGGTAAACTATATAAATGGTCATTGAACGTTTAGGCTACTTGCATTTTGGTCACCCAACTTTTAAAACTTGCAATACAATCACTGAACTTTTAGTTCTTTTCAATAAGGTCATTGATGTTACATTCCGTTAATTTTATTTGACGTGTCATGTTGTTGTTATTTTCAGCTTAATAAAATAATCTTTTTAATCCATTTCAGTTTAATAAAAAAATGTCATCACTCAAAATTGATTGAAAACCCTAAAAATCAAATTTTCCTCTCTTATTCTCTTTGTTTGATCAATGAAGCTGGCAATGGAGAAACCAAGTACAATTCCGACATGTTTTTTTGTGGAATGTCAACTACCTTACACACAACTTAGATGAATAATAATATTAGAATAAGGTTCTTTGGGTACGTTAACCATGGGTGTGTATTTAGAAGAAATTGTATTTTTTATTTGGTATAATCCCCCATTGAGTTCAGGTGCACGTATTGTTATTGTTGGTTTGCTAAGAAAGATGGGAGCCATGGAGAGGGGAAGAAGGTTTGAGCTAGTGATTTGGGTGGTTTGTTTGGGGGTTTTGTTGTATCTGGTTATGTCGGGTTAAGAACGAGGTAATTTAGGATTTATGGATTCTATTTTTTTTCTTATGTTTGTTGTTTCAAGTCCTTCTCTCCCTCATTTTCATCCACCAACAGTCGATAATCTAGAAAAAAAGTTCAAACTAGAAAAGTTAAATTAAACTTAATTTATCCAAGTCATTTGATCGATGAAAGAATTTTAAACCCTTTTAACTTTTCCTAAATTTTATACGACGTCGTTTGGGAATATTTTTTTTTATAATTTTTATTAAGCTGAAAAATAGAAGTAACATACCTCATCAGAGACCTTATTGAAAACGTAGTAAAAGTTCAGTGAATGTATTGCAAGCCCCTACAAGTTTGGTGACCAAAATGCAAGTTCCTAAAAGTTTGATGACCATTTATGTAACTTACCCATTTTCACCCGTTCAGGCCATTTATGATTTATCCTCGTTCTTAATTTAACTGCATCATCATTGATTCTCATCTCAACCAATCCGTTTAATCTTCTAACAATCATGAAAACTTATCTAAATGTAAGCTACGTAACTATTTTAAGTTAAATTACGATTCTGATTCTTTTATAAATTTATTATATCTAAATTTAAGATTTATTTCTATATTTTAAATTGGCATGATTTAATATTTTACTTCATCACAAGTTAGTACAAATATATATAGATAACTATGAGGTATAACATTATATATCTAACTATTATCATAAATATATTTAACAACTAGATAAAGATAACTATAACTATAACGTTAAAGGTATTTCTCATAAAATATTTATCTATAATCTACTAACACCCCCCTTGAGCAGTCATGTTTAAGGATGTCAATCGGGTAGGGTGAATATGAGGATAATGTTCCCACGCCTATTCATGTTAATAATTTTAATTTTCATTCATATACAAAATTTAAAATTATTTTTATCTTGAGATATGGTGTAAATATAAAATATAAAATTATTCTTATCTCATAATTTATAAAATTATAATTATTATCGTTTCATCATTTATATGAATTCGTTACCCCTTTAATTTATTTTTATTATATATATGTATGAGTAACCCATCTAATTTTCATTATATTTGTTCCACTAACTCATCTAATCCCTAATATGTTTTTCTTAGTAACCCATTTCATATAATATATTAAAAACTATAAATATCGATCCATATTAATCAGAATGAAACCTTAAAACTGAAGAATATATATATTGACTCTTGTGACATATTTGATCTTATTTTATTTGTTACTATATACAAAAAATAAGTCGTCGTGATTATTTCATTGATAAATCAAAACATAAAAATTTTAGAAATAAAGTATTTACATAATTTCTAAATACAAACAATAATGTGAGACAAATAAAAATAATCCGTGTACAATATCGTAAGTTTTATAAAATTATATCATTAAATAAATCGAATTAAACTCCGATAAAACATGTATATTACGCTAGTTTTAATAAAAAAACACTATACTAATTAAAATTAAGATAAATTAAATCAGATGTCATTAAACTTTAAGTGGTATACGTTTTATACTACTGAACTTTTAATTTTTCAAATTATAGCACTCGATTTTTATTTTAATTATGCCAATGTACATTTAAATTTTAAGATCACAATGATGTCGATTGATCTTCTTGTCACTATGATGACATAAATTTTTTTACATGATTATTGATGCCCTAAACTGTGATAATTTTATCTAAACATCACCGAAAAATACTGATTTGATATCCTTTCCCAAATATTTACCAGAGTAACACCCTTTCTGACAATATAAGGGGAGGCCCATTTCACGAAACCTATTTTATTCTCTAGATTCTAGAATAAAAACTTGCAAGGAAAAGTTAGAAAAGGCAATTAATTATGTAATAGATATGCTCCGATGGTATAACATGATGGTTGAAAATGTGAATGATTCTGCCCTTGCAATAACAAGAGAGAACAGCTTCAGTAGGATAAAGTAAGAGAACAATTTAAAGGTAATTCAAGAATACTCATTGACATATAAAGACTGCACAACCAAAATTTCATACAAATATTACCTTCTTTAGCCTTGATAGCTTCGTCCAGGATTGCACGACATCTTTAAGCAAGGGCACTCCCATTCTATAATTTAATGATTTACCGTAACCCTTTACTATGAACATTTGAAGATCATCCATCCACTCCAGCAAGGCAACCTAAACATTTAGACAGCTTTTGAAGGTATAAAGCATGGGAGATAACAAGACTAACTGAATGTACTGTTCAATTAGCATGAGAAATAGCAGGATGAATGAAACGCTTCCATCAAAGTAAGGATCATGTTTCACTTTCCCAGAATATTTAAGTAACAAAGACAGTAATCTAAACAAACATGGTGTTTATCTTAATACTGCAAGCTTGATCAGTTCTATCCAACAAGGATGCTTCCTACCATATTGAAAATCAAAGACCATAAAATACAACAAAAATTTCAATTGATCAAATATTAGAGCTTCCAGATTTCTAACAGGGTAAGAACTACAAATTTACATGGAAAGAAGATGAGTACCTGTTTACACCGAAACCAGAGAGAGGATATATCCTGTCTTGTAAAATTGAACTCATACCGCTTAGCTAATGAAGAGGTTATCTCAGTAAGGATAGGCTCTTTCAGCTTATCAAAAGCAGGCTCTTGGCTCCTCCTAACTTCCTGCACTCATATATCAGTTTAAATAAGCGAATAGAAAAGGGAAATCAATTAAATTACAGAAAAAATGAATCATTATGCAAAAGTTAATGGTTAGATAATTCTAAAAGATAAAGGTGCCGATCATGTATAAGATGTATGAAACAATTAGGAATACAACAAAATGAATGTTTAGCCAACTTAAAATCTCAGAACATTTTCTTGCATCATAGCAATATGAAAAAAGAAATTAGAAACACATAAATGCATTAACTATGATTGTGTTGGTGCTTAAATGATAAGGGTCATTCTCCACACCTTGTAGGTTTGACAACAATAAAAAAAACCTCAGGATTGTGTCAATTGCTCGACTCACTTGTAACAGCAAAAGCTCGATGACGACCTGGACCCGGGCTTCCTTTTCCACTAAGTAGTCCCGTGCCAAATGCAACAGCGCTAGCAGAAGCCCGAGGAACCTTTCCCACAAATTAAGAAGGAAATTCTAGATAAATAAATAAAACAAATAAACAATAAGGCCATCTTCAGAGATGGGGAAAAAGTAGGTAGCATTTATATGTTACATCAGAAATTCCAAATCAAAGAAAAAAAAATACATGAAATCAAGTAGAAAAAATTCTTAAAAGTGCATTTATATAATGGTAGTTAAAATTTCAAACATAGAACTTGCTTGAGTAGTCTTTATGGATCTCATAAGGTGCTATTGATAAGTATGAAATTAATAAATAGATATTAATAAATCAATATTTTTTTACCATTATATAAATGCAATTTTAAGAATTTTTTCTACTTGTTTTAAATTAATAAATCAATAGATATTAATAAATCAATATTTTTTAATATTAAACATAGAACAATTTTAAATTGATAAGTATGAAATTAATAAATAGATATTAGAATTGTTATCTTATGGTAAAAAAATATTGATTTATTAATATCTATTGATTTATTAATATTACAAAATAAACTTTTCACTAATCTTCTTATTGATATTAGGCAGAAATATCAATACTCAATCATATATAGTATCGATGGTCTTGGATAGTACCTTATGATTGCTTAGTTGAAGGCTGGGTTGAAATACGAGAGATTCTGGTCGGCTAGTAATTCGATATCCTAGGATTTGGTTGTGTTTGAAAAGTTTGTTGGGATTTTAGGGATAAGGTGCGGCTGAGATAGGTCTAGACAGAGTCATCGTAAGGGAAGGATTCAATTGGATAAGGGGGAAAGGGTCCCGTGTTTGGGATATGGGAGTGACTTTTTAAGAGATCCATAAACCCAATCACAGAGGACCCATCCAATAAGATCAGGACTTCATCCCATCCAGCCTAGTCGTTGAGTCCAACCTTTTAGGTTTTGGATATACTCTTTTCTTA